TGTCGCATAATTGTAACTTTATATCACAAACATACTTGAAATAAAAATTCTAGATATCATGTTCAAGGATTGTGATAAAATGCGGTGGGATGAAGTACGCGTAGTCAAGCGCGTGTCATGAAATCATATCTGTTTCCATGTAAATACGTCAAGAGTAACCGGAAGCGATTGTGACTATCGCTGAGGTAACTAGAGTGGTATTTCCGCTACGCAAAATGTAATTAATCATTTCTATAAACAACGCGTAATTAAACCGAAATATTTTCAAATGTCTTCAAATCTATAATGTGAAGAAAATTTATTCCGAGATTTACTCTTAAAGACATGATTTCTTTACGCAGGATATGTTAAAGAATAGAATTCGGAATTTCGGAAGTAGATAGTACTCATCAAACTAAGTAAGAACCATCAAATAAAATAAATTGCAAAATTAATCATATCAATGATTTAAACAATTTTCAGTTTTAAAACAATCAACTTCCCATTTTTGCATAAAATTATGCGTTTTCTTTTGTATAAATCTTCTCACTAATGAAAATGAGTTGACATGAAAATATCAAAGTCACACATCATCGAAAAGTAATTACTTTATAAACACATTTTATATGTATTTCATATATAGAAATATTTCGAATGTGAAATATCTTACGTAAAATATTCGCTTTTTAATTATTTTAATACTTTTATATATGCGAGATAATTTAAAAAACTAATATATATCTAACAAGAAACTTTTATTAATATGCGCAACTTTTATCTATAATTAGATTTTCAACTTGAATAAATAACTTTTACTCAATTTGGTGATTACTAAATGCCTTAATTACTTGCTCTCTAAATCCTGAACCCTTTCTTTTAATATCCTGTATACATAAAGAATATGATAATATAAGTACCTAATTCGCGATTGTGAGATCAATGTAATTTAACTAATTAAATTTATAACTTATTACATTCAATTTCAAGTTACATTGGAAAAATTATTATCACAAAAGATACACATTAAAAAAATCAAGTAAAATATATTTCCATATTTGTCATATTTAACGTAACCTTTATGTAAAAGAATATAAATAATACATACAGGAATAATTATCAAAGGGAAACATATATATAACAATTATAAAATATTCGTATGCAATTTCATGACAATAAGTTAATAAATTAATGACCGACAAATTATAACACGCTCGATAACACGTGATCGTAAGGTAAAAATCTACAAAATAAATTGAAGCAAGTTTCGCAGTTATATTTTTATATATAAAAAAAGAGTAGACTTTTTATTTCATCATTTACCTTTCACGTTGTAAGGACTCGATAACAGTACACAAGAGACTTTCGTATAAATAAGCCTCTCATATTAAACAGTGAGTTGAACTTGATTAATCGAAAAGGATTACCGAAGCGAAGCCCCAAGACTGATAGAACAGAGTATAATACAGAATCTTGGATCAGAGGAACGGAATTAAACTCGACGCAATATACAATTCGGGAATAATGCTCGGAATGGGGCAGAATCCAATATGAATGTTGAATGAAAATACGATAGCGACTCTTTGGAATAAGCCGTTCATTACTCACGTTCACCACGGCATCTTAGCATAATTATATACGTCTGCGATATTTCAACGGTGCCGAAATAAACAAGATTAATGACTGAGCGCGCAATCGCGAAATGAGAATTGATAATGTTCGACGTAATTAAAAACAATATTAAAATTCAAAGTAACAATTCTTTACAAGGTAGCATTTCTAGCATTCCTGAAATTCCTAACGTGTTTGCCATTATCGAACGCAACTACAGAACGCAACTCACTGAGACGTTAGAGAAAAGTCAAAATAACATAATCTTTCAAAGGATTTTTTTACAAATTGTAGACTGACTGAAAATGGGGATTAATCGTGACCAATTAGTCTTCATTTTAAATACATAATTTAAGTACATGACGTATCTTTAAAACAAATATAAGTTCATATCTCACGCAGCTGCTTTATAAATTTTTTTTTAATTTCATCTTCCCTTTTCTCATTAATTGCTATTATATGCGCGTAAAAAAAAAATTAAATGTTATGTAATAATTAATATCAATATATATTTATCATGCTGTACTCAAATGTATCTGTAAATAATAAAGAATTCTAGATTTTTGTACAAGTATAGGTATTACAGACTGTTTTAATCGCAGAGACACAGTCAATTCTGTATCGTACTGTTGAATAATTCACATATGATTTCTAATAAGATCGAGTTCTAGTGAACGCATATTTTCTTCTCCCCCCGGCGAAATTTAAATTCTATAATCTAAACGCACATATTACGCGTTAGCAGTTTGGAGTAATTCAAAATCAAAACATTTTCATCATTATTTGTATGACAAACTGTTGTCGATTAACAATTATTTTAAAGAGATTTAAAACATACTTGGAAAAGTTTAGTATATACATATGAGACAATAAGCGTATTCCAACGAAACGTTTTTACAAAGAAATTAACCCTTTGAAATCCAACATAATAACGTTCGCGTTCGATACTTATAAATATAAAGTTCGCTATCAGTATATTATATCTCTGCCATCATTACGTTAATTACTGGAAAATAATACACGAACTGAACGAAGTCATAAATCCTGAGAGACAAGAGGTAAATCTCTGCAATCAAGGGGGCGATATCGAGGCGCGTTTCGCGGCCGTCTGTGTCGCGGGAACCCTACTCGGTGCTCCGAAAGTAAGCCGACAAAAAAAGAATGATCGTAGACTCACCGAACGTTGCCAGGTCCGTGGGTCATGATGCTCGCGGGTATCTGCTACGTGGTCCCGGCGTGGACCGCACATCTGATGTCGTCAGCGATGCACACCGTCGTCATCGCGTGGCGGAAGGCAGACGGAAGACGGCACCGTGGAAGACCCACCAGCGGCGCGAACGGATTCTTGACGCCCAAACACGCACCCACGCACTTACGCACGCATGCATGCATACGCGGTGACAGGTCGACCGCGCCGGCACATGACAGCCTGACAGGAGCGAGAGACACGGTAGGAAAAAGCCGGGGTGGGGAAGGGAGAAGGAAAGCGAGGACAGGCGTGAGCGACATTTCCAAAACAAATTCGTACTTACTTACATTCACGCGCCAACCCAGTCACGCACAACACGTATGCAAACAACGCACACGGATGTAGAGAAAAGGAGGGAGAGAGAGAGATAGACAGAAAGATGCATACACGCACGCACCTACGAAGGAGTACACCCGACTCCAATCGCACACCTGACGCGAAAACGATGTTCTCGCGACGTGAAGGGGGGGGAGACTCCGAACAGAGAGAAAGAAAAAGGGAAAGACGAGCGATTGCGGGACGATCGACGCGACTGACAGAGAGGCAGATACGCGCACATTCGTCGCAAACGTACACAATGCGGACCCGGACTCCGGACGCGGCGCGACGCGGCGTCCGCGCGCGTTATTACGAAGGACGGAAACTCGTCGCCGGAGCCGGAGCCGGAGCTTCGTTCGCTCCACGAGCCGCGGTCCACGCGACGCGGCGGTGACATCGGTGACGTTGGGAACACGGTTCCTCGCGCGGAACGGCGGAACCGCGCGCTCGCGGGACAGCGGACAGCGCGCGGGGGGGGGGAGGGACAAAACGCGCGCGCGATCGTCCTCGCGAGGGCGGCCCGTGACTCGCGGGGGGGGCCTTTATACGTGACGCGGGCCGGTCGATCGGTCGCGTTCGGCGGCCGGCGCGTTTACGCGTCGCCCTACTAACCTATGCGTCGCACGTCGGCCGATCGTCGCGGTTGCCTGCTCAGCGAGTTCAAAACATTTCCGCGACACTGACTTGTGCGGCTAACACGACGGCTGCCATATTGGTATCCCATTCCACGATCGCCACCGATCAGGCGCGTACGGGAGCGACGCCACGCGGGAGTTCGCGCGACCGCGCCGACATCTCGTGACGTCACTCGCAAGCCGGAAGTCGATATTGATAATGACCAATAGCGGGCTATCGCGCAAATTTTTTGATAATTATGTAATCGACGGATAGTAATGGTATGTACAAGAATCCATCGGACGATAAGCTGAATTCTATTTTTCAAAACGTTATCATCTTTTTATGTTCGATTGATAAAGTAAAATTCAGAGTTACGCGTAAAATTGTATTAATCTACATTTACACATATGTATACATTGTATACTGTTTACTATAATATGTTTAATATGTTTAATTTATGTATCATCGAACATTTATATTTTGTCAGAAATATCGAAAATTTATGTTTTATTTTCAATTTTCAGTTATTATTGTTTATAAGTTTGCGCACAATTTTTAGCAGACCACGAATAATTAACTTAACAGGCCAGATCAGCGTAAATAATATTTCTATATTAGTATCATGTATCTTTTACATCACTGTACAGTTACGTAATAAAAAAAGTAAAATTATAACTGAAATGCATGTAATTTATCCTAGTCTAAAACTATAATATCTATTTTTAGTGAATCATTGGTTTACAGAAAATAAATGATACACACTGTGACTGTATCGACTGTATGCAGTGTATGCTGTACAATGTAGTGTACAGAAAAGATTTCAGATTAATTTTTAATCAAAATAACACATCCAAATTTATCACACGTAGCTGTTTCTAAATGTTCAAAAACTCTATACATTCGATATCGAAAAGATTTTTTGAAAGTAATTATTTTATAAATTATTTATGATTTATAATACCTTTTATAGATTCGAATATCTTGAAAGTGTCAATCCTTGCAAAATATTACGAAATTATTATAAAACATAAGTAAGATTTCGTAGTTGTAGAGCGAGATAATTGATGTGCTTGATATTAGGGAACTTTCCATATGTTCTTCAAATGCAATAATATACTAAATGGAAATGTATATCATAATGTATATCATAATATATATTAACATTAATTAATTATATATATAATATATAAAATTAATCTCAAATTGCACAATGTACATATATATATATAAAACATTATATTACAATTTATATATATAAATTCTTTACTAATTTCGCAGATAACTCCAATACTATAATATCATATTTAGGTCGATAATCTCGGAAAAATAGCATATAATGCATTTATATCATTTGTCACTAATAAACTATTCTTAACTTCACAACCTTCTAGAGTAACATGTGCGATTGTCGTGTAAAACTCATTTTTGTACGTATCTTCCTATTTATTGTATCTCGTAAACGTTTAAACATACTTCCTCCTTCTGTAGACATAAAAATATATAAAACAAAATTTCCTATACAACCCTTTGTGCAAATTAAGATTGTCATCAGACCTTTAAAGCAACTCTTTTCTTTGTGAATTTGCTAAATAAATTTTTCTTTTTGTTCTTGTATGTATGAGTATCTGATAAATCTAAACTGTCTAAATTATCTATCGATGGCAGGTTTTGTACAATTGTCTTTGTAGTTAACTGATCATTTTGCTTTGTTTGCTTCGTCTTCCGATTTGAAGTAATTTTTTCCCATCGAAATAACGTCTTCTTCTTTTTACTATTGACATTTAAAGTTTTTATATTATTTTCTTTCGCGATAGTTTCACTTTTACAATTTTCACTCTTCTGTCGTGGATATTTCAATGCTTCATTTGCTTCTTCAGTAATGTGCGCTATATCACTGTATTTATCGAATAAAATTTTCTTTACTTCTGTAGTTTCTTGTGTTTCCTCTCTATTTCCTATTTTAGTTAAACTGCTGCGGAATTAATACTTACATCAATTGCATTCTTAAAAAATAATTTATTATATATCAAATTGAACAAGTGTTACGTTACCTTCTGGCAATAGAATTTGGAACTTGTATAGAATCACGTAATTTGCCCCAAAAATCATATAATCCTTTATGGTTATAATCCAAATTATATATATATCTCAATTGAACTGGCAATTCACAGCTTTTGTATATACATGGTATAATTTTTCGCTGTCGTTTTTCTAAAGAAAAATATGGTTTTTTTTTTAGATTACAGCACTTGGAATACCATTATATTTCAAAAGAGATATAATATGAAAACATACCAATACTTAAGGCTGTAGTATAGTTCAAGAAAAACTTGTTTGCTGAGCTTTTCAGAAAGCTCGGTGATACTATAACGAGCAATCTATTACATCGGTCGGATATTAACTTCATTACTGCGTCATGCTCGAATTGTACACCAGCGACTAAATCTCGATCCTTCAAACACAGCTGAAAGCAATAACGCAGTTTAATTTACCCGACTTTTGTGAAAAGGAATCGTATATTACATAAATTACATTTATTTGCGAAATTACATTTATTTACGATACCTTCAAGTTGAATTGTGTCTCAAGTTTCTCTACCATTTCCTTCGCAAAATCATTATCCTCTTCTACGTACAGAAGGAATGCATCATAATATTGTGTTTTTAAACCTTGTCGTGATCTATGAATATCACCTATAGGAAACACACAAACAAATGCCACGTTGTCACAAACAATTGTGCATCTAATACAAATAAATTTGTATTGCACAAAGTACTCCAAATTAAAGTGTTATCGACTACGAATCATTCATGACAAACCTAATGTAAGTATTTCCTCATCACATTCGTCTATCGGATCTGCTGACACTTGCGCTCTTTGCCGATGCTCCAAATACCTCTCAGCATCACTTTCTGTATCGATAAATCATCAGCTGATAATTGTGATTACGGAAGATTTTTACATTTACAAATACAAGTTGTTCTTTTCTTCATAAGCGGATACATACGGAACAAAGCTTCAGTGTCGTCAATAATATCCCATCTGTCCATCTGTTCCATAATTGCTTGAAAATTTTTCATTGTGATATCCTTTTTGTTTTTGTCCAACATTGTAAACATGTGCATAGTCGGATCAGAATGTGACGTCAGTAATGACACGACATCCATGCTGAGCTCCAACAGATGCGCCAGGCCTCTCCAGTCCCTTATAATTTGTTTGTAAATTAGTTATGTACCACATACGACAATTTCAATTAAAGTCGCAAGCTAACGCATACCTTGGCAAACCGTTGTCGCTTGGTAAAACTTTCATGGGGTTCAGCATAGTTGCGACGATTTGTCTGGTCGCAACAGTGGCTGCAACAAGCGGCACATCTGACAAATCGATTGTCATCTTGAATTCCCTTTCTCCTCCCTTTATTTAAACGGATATTGTGATTATCGTGTCGAGGCACAGCTGTGCAGCGTGCCTTGTACTTTGTACTATCTCGACTCGACGAAACCGTTGTTGTCACGGGCCACGGCTGTAACCATCACAGAAACGTCGGTCCGCAATGCAGTGTCTCGCGAAGTGCATTTGTCGTAGCAATTTATTATTGCCACGATCGGCTTTCCGACAATCAGTGACAATCACTCGTGTACAGTATACACGATTAGCATACAGCGAACGATGTTCACGGATCCCCTTCCTCTCTCAAGATTTTCGTTCACTCGAAACACCTCTGTCGTGTTTTTTAGAGGTTATCAGAGGTTGTAAACCAGTTCTGCTCCTGGATATTCCGCTGCCCCGCTGGGGAATCCCCAGGAAAAGCAGGCGGCGATGATTTTCCAGAGACTCTGCGTGCGATCACCTCCCCGGAAGTCCGGAACTCCCGGAAGTGACGATTTAAATGTGGATCATGTGACGAGGTTGGAGATTTGCTGCTAAATTTAAACGTATGCTCCGACGTTATTACGATATATTCGTAAACGTATTTTTTTTTTCTTATCCTGCTTTCTAAATCTTATTTTATGCGTGTAGCTAATCCCGACGTGTTTAACTTACAGATATTATACTTTGAATTGGGATGTGCCAAAGTTTTTAGATTTATTGTGGCTAGTAATTAATTACTTATTTTGAGTATTAAAATCATTAAAAACAGTACTTTTAATACTCAAAATAAGTAATTAATCACTAACCAAATAATCACTTACAGTATTAAATTTCTGTAAGGGCCCCTAATTCTGATTAATTTAATTAGCGTTTAAATTCAATCGGCGGAATCGCATGAAGCAAAATTTCTATATAATTTCTTGTTTTAATTTTAATAATTACCTTAGATAAACTCAATTTTTCAATAGTCATGACACATACATCAAGCGTTTTATGCATCATGATTATATTTTACTTTTCTGAAAAGATTCAACATCAATATATGTACATACATATATATGTTATTTACTTATTATTCAATTTAAATAATTATCTTAGCCTAAAGTAAAATCTTAATTAATTTTTTAAACATGTTGAATATTTATAGAAACCACACATGCACATACACATACAAACTATCACACAGTTGTGAGTTTGTGAGTCACAATATCTTCACACAAATCTTAGCATGTTCCAGGTATAAAATATTAAACTGTATTGCTCAATCATTCTTGTAATTTTTAGTGATAATTTTTTAAGGATTTTATAATTTAAAGTTTGTTTCTTGAGTATATATATATATTTTTTTTTACTTCATGAATAGTTCTTTAACTTAAAAAAAATGTCGAAGAAAATTCAATGGCAAAAGGAGTATCTATATTATTGTCCGGGATACCTTATATAGAGCGTTTAAAATTTGAACTAAAGGAACGTCTTTATAATACGTAAACACTCGTTACATACTGTTTAGATTGTATGATCCTTTTGATCTTCATAGTGTTATTAACAGCACAGTATGAAAGATCATTTGTAGAGCGTCTTATATGATTACCAGTTTGTTGCTCCAAATCAAAGTGTCTTCTTTTCGCAGGTGCAAGCTCATCTTCATCTGTTCTTATTGTCGCTGTGCTAAGATACCGATTGCACACGAGTATTTCTACTTTAATATTGCTGGAAATTAATTAATAATCAGAATCGGAATGCGTGAGCGAATTAAAACTATAAAGCGATGTTATAAAGCTTTACAATATGAGATCAACAAGCAGGTGAGTGTGAATACGACTAATATACATAAATATGTTGAGGAATTGTGAAATATAACACTTAAAACAAGGAGCTTAAAATTTATATTCCTGTTAAAACGCTTTGTATTTCTTGCGTGTGTTGTCAGGAAGCACTAAAGAAGATATCTACCTTACACTATGAGCTGAAATTTAAGGATACTAATCATTTTTCAGATAGGTGAGTGACTACTCTTATTGTTAATCTTAAGTTGAGAGTGATGTCAAAAACTATAACTATCTCTATTTATGTGGTTTCATTTTCTTTTTACATTTATAGATTCTTACAGACAGCATCTATAATAAAAAAGAATCTAACTGTTTTCAAATCTGCTTGTGATCATGTGGATATAGTTACTATCATTCTTGACTTCTTGCACACTATCGGTGTGAAATTTATGTTTGACGGTGAGATTATGTTTGATATGTATAATAATATTCTTGTAATATAACTGTGGCAATATCTTTTCTTCGCTTCGTCACTTTTGATATTATTTATATTTAAAAATGATAACAATAATATGCTTAGAATAATATACGTATTAAATTGTTTAATAACAATTCTTATTTTTACTATTTTTTTCTAGATGAATACACTTTCGATGAAATTATTATAATATGTATTATGGATTTTGTATGTGAGGAACCTGAGATTTCCTCATTTTTGAAAGCGGCCCTTATGTAATTATCCAACAAAAATATACATATATCTGTATCTCAGAGGTAAAGAATCATATTTCCAGTTTTGGCCATAATGGAGTTAATGCATTTTTCAATATAACAGGAATTGCAAAGCGTCTTATGTCTATTGTTACTTGTTACTAGTTTCTAAGATACAGTGTCAGAAAAAGTCGTATTGAAAATTTTTATAGTGCTTAATTTTTAAACCACATACAGCGTGTTATTGGCAGTTGTGCTACTAAACATCTCAGTTAAGTTACTTTATCAAAAACTTAATAAATTAAGTTACTACTTTTATTTTATATCTAAAAAAATATATTACTTCCCTATTTAAAACTTTAAACTTTGTTTTCTCTGGATGTATAAAAATGGACATACGATCCTTTACGCATAAGATACAGATATACATTATTAAATTAAGTTCCGTTATTACATTATTTATTAAATATATTAATTAGTATTTTTTATTATGTTAAAATCGATCGATATTATCCATTTTGTAAACATTTTTATAATTTTATATTTTTTAGCAATAATTCAAGGTTGGAACAAGCAGATAACGAATATGAAGTATTAATTTCAAGTAAGCACATTCAAAACATAATATAAAAGCATTTTTTTAATTTTATTACAAAATTTTTAAAATTTATACAGATTGCTTTTATGAGATGATTGTGTTAGAAGATTCAGACTTGTATGCAGTTATTAGCTATTTGAGGATTACACCTTCTTTCCTGTTAAAGATAAAAAAAATTTACGTCCAGGAATCAATAAAACAGAAATTTGTATGGCTCTTAAAAAAGTATTTTCAAGGTTTTTATACATACACGGATTTGCCTATTTCTACATTTCATACAAAAAAAGAATTATATTCGTTTCCCTCATATCTTCAAAGTCTGTATTCAATCAATATGGTGTCTATATGGTCAGAAGATATCACAGCTGCAAAAGTATTAGCAACGACTTTACGCGTACGTAATACAATTTAAATGCTGTAATACAATTGTCAAATTGCTTAAAGCTTTATTAAAACAATTTCTGTTTTGGGAACAGAGAGATATCACGTTTATAAATGCACACTTCGAGTTTTGTCCCAATATCACGTTTTCTTGGAAATGTCTGACTTCTACTTTCGATTTTTGCCAATATTTTGACATGTTGAAGGATAAAGATGAAAATAAAATAGACCCAAACAAATATACAGGTTTATGTTATGATCTTTTTTATGATGGTTTATGGCAAAAGCCTGTGAAGGATACGTATTGGATACATAATGGCAATACTTATGCAAACGCAACAAAGTACGAATACTTGCATTTTTCCTGCCTGTCTTTTTTTTTAATTAATAAAAACCATGTATTAAATTAGTGTTTAAATAATTCATTATAGGGAAGATGTGATGTTATGCGTAGAATCAAGCGCGGAAGCATCCAAAAGTTGGAGTATTTTGCCTTTTGTTTCTAGAAAAAAAGTATTAGAGAATCTTGCATCTACATTAGAGTGCAATGGGTATTAATTTACTATATAACATTTTCATATATTTTATAGTCTTTTATTTTAAACATTTGTGTGTATGTGAACATTTAATAGCACTTTTAACAAATTTTCCTTTTTTGTTTTCTTTTTCAGCAAATTTCTATTAGCAGATACAGTATTGAAATGGTTAAAATCATCAAACATTAACAATACATTAAAATGTCAAGATGAAAGATTAGAACTAACCAACTTTCGTGGATCGAAAAATGTTGTTAGCATTTTTCATCCAGATGAAGTTGTATCGTTCGGTTATCTGACATTATCTTTAATGATTGGCAATTGTGTCATTGTGCTATTTGATAAACGTTCGTGTTCTTTAGCACCATTTTTCAACATGTTTTCAACAGCTGAGATACCTCCAGGCGTTATAAATTTGTTGTCGAGAAGAGATTTGTCTGAGTTTATTTGTGGTGTAAATTATGAACCAGACGAAGCGTTCAAGCATTGTACTTCTATAAATCATATTATACTTCCTCTTAAATAATTTTATTAATGCATATTACATATGTAATAACATTACATGTTTCATATATTTGTTTCTATACATGTATATAAGTAAATAAACACATTCATGCATTTATTTAGATATTATCACTTTAAAATAACAGTTTCCTTGTCATTTATCAACTAATATTTTGAAATAAAATTAATCATATAATAATATCTCATCACATATCTTTTAACGCAATATTATTAATTATCTCAGGCATGAAATATTAAACTGTATTGCTCAATCATTCCTGTAATTTTCAGTGATAATTTTAAGATCTTTTAATTTAAAGTTTGTTTCTTAAGTATATATATATGTAGAGCGTTTAAACATTTTCGAGCGTTAAAATTTGAGCTAACGAACGTCGTTATAATATGTAAACACTCGTTACGTACTGTTTAGATCGTGTGATCCTTTTGATCTTCATAATGTTATTAGCATCATAGTACGAAATATTATCTATAGAGCGTATTACCAGTATATTGCTCCAAATGTTAAAGTGTCTTTTTTCGTAGGTACAAGCTCATCATCATCTGTTCTTATTGTCTCTGTGCGAAGATAGCGATTGCATACGCGTATTACTTTTTTAATACTGCTAAAAAATTAATTAATAATCAGATTCGGAATGTGTGAACGAAGTAAAACAATAAAGCGATGTTATAAAGCTTTACAATATGAGATCAACAAGCAGGTGAATATATGAATACGACTAATATACATAAATATGTTGAGGAATTGTGAAATAAAATTTATATTCCTGTTAAAATGCTTTGTATTTTTTGCGTGTGTTGTCAGGAAGCACTAAAAAAGATATCTACTTTACACTGCGAATTGAAATTTAAAGACACTAACAACTTTTCAGATAGGTGAGTGATTATACTTATTAATCTTAAGTTGAGAGTGATGTCGAAAAATATAACTGTCTCTAATTTGTTGTTTTATTTTCTTGTTATATTTATAGATTCTCACAGACAACGTCTATAATAGAAAAGAATTTAACTGTTTTCAAATCTGCTTGTGATCATGTAGATATAGTTACTACTATTCTCGATTTTTTGCACACTGTCGGCGTGAGATTGATGTTTAAAGGTGAGTTCGATACGTGTAAATATTCTTGTAATATAACTGTATAGCAATATATGGGCCGTGATATGAACAATACCTTTTGTTTACTTATTTATTTTCTACATCATTTATATAAAAAATAATAACAATAATGTACGTAGAATAATATACATATTAGATTATTTAACAGAAATTCCTCTTTTATCTTTTTCTAGATGAATCGTGTACTTATAAGGATATGGTTATAATATATATGATGTATATTGTATGTGACGAACGTGAGATTTCATCATTTTTGCAAGCGGCTCTTCTGTAATCATCCAATAAAAATACATATATACATTATTATTAAATTAAGTTATATTATTAAATTATTTATTAAATATATTAATTAATATTTTTAATTGTATTAAAATTGATATTATTACTAATTTTGTAAACATTTTCATATCATTTAGCAATAATTCCAACTTGGAATATGCAGATATCGCATATAGAAATGCACTTTCACGTAAGCACATTCAAAACATAATATAAAAACATGTGTTTAATTTTATAACAAATTTTCTAAAATTTATACAGATTGCGTTCATGAGATGGTTGTGTTAGAAGATTCAGATTTGTATGCAGTTATTAGCTATTTGAGGATTACACCTTCTTTCCTGTTAAAGATAAATAAGATTTACATCCAGGAATCAATAATACAGAAATTTATATGCGTCATGGAAAAGTATTTTAAACATTCAAACTTGGTTTTGTCTATTTCCGTATTTCATGCAAAGGAAGATTTAAATTTATTTCCCACATATTTTGCGAGTCTGACGAAAATGCATATGATGTCTATATGGTCAGAAGACATTGTAGCTGCAAAAGAATTAGCAACGATATTACGCGTACGTATTACGTAATATAATTTAAATGCTGTAATGCAATTGCCAAATTGTCTAAAGCTTTCCTAAAACAATTTCTGTTTTGACAACAGAGAGATATTACGTTTATAAATGCACACTTCGAGTTTTGCTCCGATATCACGTTTACTTCCAACAAATGGGTGGAGTCTACTTTCGATTTTTGTCGTTTTTATGGCGTGTGGAAGGATAAAGATGAAGATGAAATAAACGCAAACCAATATACAGGTTCACGTTATGATCTTTTTTATTATGGTGCATGGCAAAAACCTGTGAAGAATACATATTGGATACATGATGACAATATCTATGCAAACGCAACAAGGTACGAATACTTGCATCTTTCCTGCCTTTCTTTTTAGTTGTGCAATAAATTTTAAGAAACTTAATAAAAATCAAATACTAATAAATTAGTGTTTAAATACTTCATTATGTAGGAGCGATATTCTGAGATGCGTATGCTCAGCGTCGGACGCAGCCGTCAGTTGGAGTTCTTTGCCTGTTGTTTCTAGGAAAAAAATATTAGAGAATCTTGCATCTACATTAGAGTGCAATGGGTATTAATTTACTATATAACATTTTCATATATTTTATAGTCTTTTATTTTAAACATTTGTGTGTATGTGAACACTTAATAGCACTTTTAACAAATTTTCCTTTTTTGTTTCCTTTTTCAGCAAATTTCTATTAGCAGATACAGTATTGAAATGGTTAAAATTATCAAACATTAACAATACATTAAAATGTCAAGATGAAAGATTAGAACTAACCAACTTCCGTGGATCGAAGAATGTTGTTACTATTTTTCATCCAGATGAAGTTGTATCGTTCGGTTATCTGACATTATCTTTAATGATTGGCAATTGTGTAATTGTGCTATTTAATGGACATTCGTGTTCTTTAGCACCATATTTCAGCATGTTTTCAACAGCTGGGATACCTTCAGGCGTCATAAATTTGTTGTCAAAAAAAGAAATGTTTGGCGTTTGTTTTGATAAAGCTTATGAACCGGAAGAAGCATTCAAGCATTGTACTTCTATAAATCATATTATACTACCTCTTAAATAATTTTAATACATATTACATGTAATAACATATATTAAATACATGGTTCTCTAATATTTGTTTATACATATACATATATATATAAGTAAATAAACACATTCATACATTTATTTAGATGTTATAACTTTAAAATACCAGTTTTCTCTTGTCATTTATTATCTAATGTTTTAAAATGAGATTCGTCATATAATAATATCTTATCACATATCCTTACTCTCATATTAAAGAGTTTATTTTTCTTGTGTCCATATCCTTCTTCCTCTTCATCTATCTCCTTCTCTCTCCTTCTCTCTCTCTCTCTCTCTCTCTCTCTCTCTCTCTCTTTCTCTCCCTCTCCCTCCCCCCCCCCTCTCTCTCTCATCCCTTTTTCTTATTCTTATTATATTAAGGAGTTTACTTTCATCTCATCAGCACATATCTTTTAACTTAAAATTTAATATATTATTAAAGATTATATAAAAAAACGTTTAAAAACGGCAGTTTATATCTAATCAGATTATGCTTTGCATAATCTGCTCTCGACAGACTTGGCTCTGCCTGAGATATCCGTATCAATTAATAATATCGTATCTATTATTTGTGTCCTAATGTTTTTAAATAATTTATAAATGTATACGAAACACACATTCAAGGATGTTAAACTGTTAGACATAATTCTAAGTTATAATACAGATATATTCAGATTTGATTTTATCAGAGATGTAAATATCGATAGACATTAATATCATTCGATGTATACTAGGTTTTTGAATAATAATAGCCTAGCTTACTCAATAGTTCATTCTTTTTATTTGGAAACGTTTATGTACCTTCATAAAATAAAACCTCTTACATTTTGTTTTTTTTATTTTTTATTTATAAGACTTAGATGCTTCAAGCGTATATTTTTTTCACAGCGTGTAGCATATAATAATCGACAAAAAAAGTACCGCCGAAATTAATTAATACAAATAATGAAATATGAAATATTAACTGTTATAATGTAATAAACTGAGAAATTATTGATATCTCATTATATCTTAAATTTATTGATTAAACTTGCTGCTTAAATAAACTTTTGAAAAGACACATTTTATACTCATTCATATTATGCTTGGAAAACTATTAATCCTCTAATGATCCAATGTGATTTTAAATAAATGTCGCTTAATTTATTCTATTTTGCATTAGTCGCAAAAAATATCATGTCAATATGCATTGACGCGACAGAACTTAGGAAATAACAGCAAATAAAACATATCAATATACATATGTCAACAATTAAAACAGTCAAAGCACATATTAATTGTCTGGATAAGTAAAATTAATATAAAGAATAGTGATACATTTGTTTCTTTAGTAAAATACGTTTTGCTATGAAAACTATTGTAAAAAAGTACTTAAAATAGAGAACGCTTTATATACTTAAATAAAACGGATTATACATAGTTATAATTAAGTGAAACAAATTCTAGTATCCTATTGTTTTAATTCTATTTCTTACATACGATGAAATAAATCAGAAGCCGAATAACGATTTGAGATCGTTCAACGTAAGCTTTGTAGCTGCGTTGGTTCCATCGCCGCTCAGTACATTTCGCGCTATTTCAAGTTTTCGTTCTTGCAACGCTTTAATACGCTCTTCTATTGTATTAACACAAACAAATCTGAAACATAAACGCAAAAATATTAAAATAAACTTTGCAAGAAATGTATATGCGTGGAAATCAAGTACGATGTAGACTAACTTGTAGATGTAGACATTCTTTGTTTGACCAAAACGATAAATCCTATCTTGCGCCTGCGTCTCTAACTGCGGATTCCAATGAATGTCAAATAATAACAAGTGATTTGCGCCTACCAGGTTTAATCCCACTCCGCCAGCCGTAAGTGAGAGCAACAGGATTCTTGGGCCGGAATTTCGTTTGTTAAAAGATTCCATTATACCCTGAAAGAAAAACACGTAATCATTTCTTTTTGTAACAAAATAAAATAACAAAAACATATGTAATATTGATATCCATAATCCGTACTTGTCGATCTTTGATGGCGACACTTCCTGTGAACTTGCTGAACGTAGCACCTTTTATCACAACCAAGTGTGATGCTATGACATCCAGTAGCTTTGCCCATTGTGAAACAATGATGAGTTTATCGTTATCCTTTTGTAAAATTTCTTTAACCTTGTCAAGCAGTATCGTCATCTGAATCATTATATATTGCATTAATCACACATAAAATGGTGAAATCTTTCAGATTATACAATTATCACTTACCTTGGAACTAATGCGATCATCGTCGAACACTGGGTTCTCAGCAGTAAGTAGATTTCCGGCTACTCTTTCATCAACACCGATTTCATCTTCCTCATCCGCATTATTGATTCCATTGAGTGACATGTTATTTACTCTGGATAAGAAATCGGCATCCACGTTTTCTGTATCCATTATACCGCTTTGCTTCACATCTTCCTGATCCAACATTGCATGGATTAATGCCGGATGGCAACATATCTGACGTAGTCGTAGAAGGAGTACCAAAATCTCATGTGTCTTTACTGATACTGAGGCGTGCATCGCCAGCAATTTGTTTTGTGCTTTCGTAAACTGAGTTTCCTTGTCTTGGAAAAAAAAACAACAATTATGCATAAAAATAATTAATTACATTAAATTAATTAAATAATAAATACATTTCGGTGATTATACATATATTATTTCAAATCTTACTTGGGTTTGCAAGATAGGCGGGCTTATTATACCTCCCACCATACAAATCGAACATGTGCTCTTTTTCCGCACGTTGAGCTAAAAATTGTGCGAACAAAGTACGGGAGTAAACTAAAATTTTCTCGTACACCAATTGTTCCTGATGGTCGAGTTCCACCGTCACCTCCTCGATAGACTTGTCGGGTAAATTTTCTAAATCACCTTTGGCCATCAGTTCTTGTTTAGTTCTCCGCAACATTAATGTCTTCATGACCGTCGCCAATCTTTGATGACCTGCGGCATTCTTATTGTCTACCCATCGTTTCCAAACGCGTAGATCATCGAACGGTGAGCATCTGAGAAACTTCAGAATAGAGTATAAATCTAACTCCTTATTTTGTATAGGTGTGCCGGTGAGGGCCCATCGTTTGTTTGCCATCAGTTCACAAACCGCTTCGGATGCCTGGCTCTTGTGATTTCTCACTATATGAGCTTCATCAAGTATAACTCTCTTCCAGTTGATCTGCAAAGAAATTTTAATTTGCGATCAAACTAAAAACTCAAGACAAATGTGTATTTTATGTTTAGATCAAAATAAAAACTTCTATTTTTGTCTACTCATTAGTCAAATAATATTTGCAAGCTTTAGCGTACCTTAAATAATGTAGAATTGCTTTTATATTCACGAGACAATATATTATACGTTGTGATGACCATATCGTTTTTCGCCAATCTTTTAGGAAGGCTCTGACGATTAGTGCCATGATGCACCTCAATAGACAGTAAACCGCGTTTGCATTTGTTCCGTACTTCGTTTTCCCATTGCGACAATAAGGACGCGGGACATACTACCAGAGTACCACCCTTATGACCTGTGGATCATTGATCATATATCTAATAATTATATAAATACATTTATTATATTATATACATTTATATAATTGTTATGATTCATGCTAGATATAGTATCATAACTTCAATAACTTAAGGTTAAGAAAAAAAAGCAAATATTTTAAAAAAGTATAGAAAGGCAAAAATATTATTTTTTTTATTAGGTACTTTTACATACGTAAAGGTTTACTCTTGTTAGTCCACTCGCCATCATCATCACTATCACTTTCATCCTCATCATCATCAGAATCTTTCATAGCAAGAGTGCTTATAGTCAAAGCTATCATAGTCAGTGTTTTGCCCAAGCCCATATCATCCGCTACAATCCAAGGTAGAAATACGTTTCCAATTAACAATAATGTAAAATTAATTAAAGTAATATTTAATTTAATATTAATATAATTAATATTGTAAGTTGCTATTTTGTAAATATTTACCTAAAACGCCACCGGATGGTTTTTGCTGTTCCCTCCACAGAAGCCATGCGAGAGCATGCTTTTGATGTGGCATTAATTCTACCTTCAATCCCCTTGGATCTTCTGCTTTCTCATTTTCTGACGGACGAGCTACGAGTGATCCGTGCAAATCTTGTAATCGTTCAACCGTTAAAGCAAGCTCCTTATCTCTGGTGGCTTGTGCCTTTTTGCCCAGTTCCTTTAACTCGGGAGATGACCTAGGATTCATTGGTATATTGTCTATACCCCCATATGAATCCTCACTTTCATCATCATCATCATCAGGATCTGCGGAATCGGAATACGACTCATCTTGCAACATCCGTGATGATTCCTTCATGAAACGAAAATGTTCTGTTACTTCGGTTTCTTGACTGCTAGGAAGTGACACCAAAGGGGTATTTTCCAATTCCCGTGTCAATATCCTGATTTCTTCTTCTTGCTGGCGTATACGTTCTTGTATTTTCTGCCCTTTATCAGGCAATGCTTCCATATTTCCATCATCAAGAAATCGCTAAAAATATGTTATACATATGTTTTAGTTATACATACATGTTCGATGGTGACATATTCATCAATTATCAAAATTGTCTACATTATTTATTATTGTATCTCAGCAATTAAATATATCTTTCTCATATTTACTTTCATTTGGGCTGACTCATTTTTAAGCTGCTCTAATTTGCAAACCGTGATTGCTCTTTTCTGTGCTACTAACGGATCCACATTTTTAACATTTGTAAATTCACGCCTTGCAAAAGACTTTGCGAATTCGGAATCGCTGTTTTGCCCGGATTGTCCAGAAGCAGAATCTATAATATAGAAAATATAGCATATAGATATTATTACGTGTATTAAATATTTGTATAAAAATGTATAAAAATATTTATCTATCGAAGATTAAGATCTGTACATTTGATATAAATAAACTGAATACCTGAATCAAGTGCGATAGTCACAGCTACATCCTGAAGAGCTTTATCTTCTCCATCTTCTGCTGTTTTGTAATCAGTATCACTTTGTTCATGTACATTATCGAAGTTAATATCATTCATATTAATAAGAGAGTCACTAGAAGAATTGGGTTTTAATTCTTTTATATCTTCCTTAGTATTATCATGAGTTACGTCTTTCCTTTTTTTACCCTTGGTTTTAATCGGTGAATACGAAGGAGAAGAACCTATATAAAGTAACAGAAATAAAAATCTATATAAAATATCAATATAAAATAATATAATCAAGTAAAAATTCTATAATATTATTTTACCAGCAAATGTTTGAAATATTACAGAATCACATAACATAACATGATAGTAGTCTTTATTTGCAAGATGATCATTACCTGAATTTGTATAATTGATGTCACTAAATGTATGATACTCTTCATCCTCATAATCATTGGGAGGTTCATAATCATCACTGTCATCATCAGAATCTACTATATTATATTTTCTTCTAATATTTAAGTTTCTTGGGTGAATGACTGGTGTTGTATCATCATCATCAGCATCACTGAATTTATCCCTATTTAAACATTTATAAGAAAATATTATCTTCATCATTGTTTATATTTTAATAACTTATTTCAACATGTAATTATAATAAATAATAAAAATATACAAAAAGAAAATAAGAAAAAGATGAGAAATTAAAAGAAATTTAAAATTATATTTTAAAAAAAAATGCAAATGTAAGAATATAAAAAATCCAAGTACAATAAATTACATGAGTAATAAGAATGTATATGTGTAATTAGTGTTGAGGATTCAAATAAATAACTCAATCCAGGTTAAGATCAAATAATAGGATAAATATAACGAATTTCTAAACGTCGATAACGTTTTCTATTTTTTTTTTTTTTTTGTTATTATCGCTCTTATTTACATACTAGCCTATGAAGGGTGCGTTTCACTTAACGCCCGCAATGCTCTTAGAATTATTTCGTCCTTGTTTATTTTGTCAAATGTTGGAACGCACCCGAAATATTACGATGGGGTCGACAATCGAGAACGTGAAAAAAAAAGACAGTCTCCCACTAGAGAAAATTATTCTACGACTTTATAATACAAAGCAAATTAATCGCCTTATTGGGTGCGTTCAGCCGATACTCTGCTAGCCTAGCAATCGTGAGCAGTCGCTCGTTTTCGCTCGTTTCCTCTCCTTTGACCCAATGGATTAAAAGGAGAGGA